GCGTGTGGAGTCGTGAACAGGGCCAACTGATCGGAAGCCGATTAATCGATTATTGAAAAAGTTGACAACTTTTTCAATAATCGATTATAATCGATTATGTCGATTAGTTGTTGCAGCCCTAAAAATAGCATCTTGTATTTACAAGACAGCCATCCCACAGTCCCTCTCTGTAGACCAACACTGAAAGAGACTTTTACTAGCTAGCACCAACTAAAAAGATTGTCCATCCTCTAGCATAATTGGGCCTGCAGTGCCCTTTCATCTACAAATGGTCCTGAAGTTTTAGCATACATAAAAAAATATTCCAGGAGAAATGTATAAACCCAGCCCTTATGTCACCAATGTTAAAGTCGGCACGTACCTCATAGCCATATGTTAGAACAGATGATGCAAGGAATGCTCCCAAAATATTTCCAACGGATGCGCAGGCACTCCAGAGTCCGAACACAAGGCCACGTCTGTATAAGTTAGAAATGGCAAATTAGAAATTTTTACAATTTAAAATATGTTTTTTGAGACAACACACTTGGATCAATAAGACAGGAAGGAAATGAGAGGAAATCTCTGCAAAAGGGACACCAAAATGTTTGGTTTTCTTTTAGTAGAACATGAAGGGTTAGAACCTGTCAGGTTTTACCACTATCCATGTCTTTGCTGTGAGACATCCCTTGACTTCCTGTTCATTTACTTCCAAGCATTTTTAAGAAGAATTTTCATTGTTTTTTTACTAAATCCTTCCCCTCCCCTGCTCTTCCTTGAAGGGAATGTCAAGATCTAGGTTTGGATAGAGTGGGGAAGGATTAAAACTAGAGGTGCACCGAAATGGAAATTTCAAAAACAAAACCGAAATTAAAAAAATTGTCAGGCCGAAACCAAAATTTTTTTTTTAATTATTTTATTTTTTCTAAACTTATTTTTTTTTATTTAATTGATTTTGTTTTAAATATTTTTATTTTTTACTTTAAAAGGGGCTTTAGGAAAATATAAGGGGTCTAAACAGACCCCTGATATTTCTCTTTGAAAATAGAAAAAGAGATAGAAGACTTTGTGTCCTCAATCTCTTTTTCTGTATCCCCAGTTATAAATTAACCTGAAGCCTCTATACTGAGTGTTCCTGTTCATTCATAACATGAGGACAGAGTATGTTTACTATAACCACAATCATGAATGAACAGGAGGTGATGTAGATCACTTCCCATTCATTCATAATTGAGGATATAGTAACCTTATGTCCTCAATTATCTACAAACATGTAGCGATCACTGACCACTGAGTGTTTGTACCATGCTCTCCTCTCTGACATGCTGTCACAGGAAGCTGAGCGAGCGGTGTAGGGAGGAGAGCCCAGCCTCCTGTGACAGCGCAGGCTGTCTCCGCCCACACCGCTTTGCCGGACTGTGATAGGAGGCTGAGCGGTGTGGGAGTAGACGCCAGCCGCTCACAGCGCTCTCCGCCCGCAGTGCTCGGCCAGGTGTCAGTTTCTCGCCTCCCCGCTGGGATACAGAGCAGCACTCAGCGGGGAGGAAAATAAGCAGGGATGCGCCGATGTATCGGCAGGAAAATGGCACTTTTGGCATTTATCCAAAAGTGCCATTTTCGGCGGCCGATATATCTGTCCATCCCTAATTAAAACTCATGTTAACTGCAATCTGAGGCTCCATTACAGAAATTTGCCCTCATTTCCTGGCTTACTGACAATGGTTTCCCTAGACAGGAAGTGAGGGGAAATTTGCAACAGACAGAACAACTTATTCTCACAGTGCAGGACTGTTTAACAAGTCATCCTGCAGAGATAACCAAAAATCAGTGAAGGGCTTTCCTAAACATTCCAGTAAGCTTTGCAAACTGAGTGTCATGAATGCAACCTGTAATAAATTATATTGTAAAATATTTGATGCAAACCAAAAAAATTATTTAAATAAACCTGTAAACTTTCCAAAGAAGTGACTAAAAAAACAAAACAGAGTTTCTCTTCAAATCAACACAGGACTGTTTTTTAAGCCGCTAAAAGTCTAATAGTGAAATAAAACAAACATACCCAGATTTTCCAAACCAGTTCCCCATGACAGCGACCACACAGGGCCAGCCTGTGGACTGTAGTAGGCCATTTATCACCCACACGAGGCAGTAGAAAACCTTATTATAGAAGTGAAGCCACTCTGTGAGCGTGCCGAACACAAACATCTGGAACAAAGAAGAGATTTAGAGTTGACAATTGCCATAGTGGACCACGTGGTTGCTATTGTACCTTGGGTATAGGGGGGGGTTCAGGGATTGTAGGAAACTAAACAGTTACGTTTTCAATATAGAAGGGCTGAAGTAGCTACTGCTCCAAGCTTGTTCCTGTGATGGACTACAATCTCAATGCACTGGTACAATAGATGTGAGATTGTAGTCCATCACAGGAGTGAGCTTGGAGCATTGGCTACTTTAAAAACACACACAGTGACCATGGGGAAGAAAAGTAGCCCCCCTCCAGAAGGAAGGTCAGTGTCGGCACCAATTCAGAGATGATTTGAGGATCTACATCTGAGTGATACACAAATAAGAAAAATTTTTAGTAATAGGGCGTGCGAATGCATTTTTAAGACTTAACTCATGACTTAAGTGTCACTTGAGGGCAGAGCTCCTCTAAGAATGACAACTAGCAAGATCCTGGCCAGTATTCCCCTGGGAGGACCATCCGCCACGTCTTACAGAAATGTGGACAATGATTGATCTTATCTAGGGGAAAGAGGGCACCCTTGCTCTATAGCTGGAGAGATTTTTGATCTAAAAATGATGCACAAAGTAAAGACTTTTGAGGCCTGCACCGCTCATCATTAACCCTTGCACCACCAGGTTATCTGAAAATTAGCTTCAACTGGTCACACAAGTATTTATTTTTGAAAATAAGATTTGGTGAAACATTAATACTCACAGTCACAGCCGACGAACACATGCCAAAAGTGAGTACGTAACGCATATTTAACCGGTCACCTATAATCCCGCTGATGTACAGACCCTGTTGTCCAAAGAAACATATTTCAATGTGGAAACATTAACTGTAAAAAAATGCCTTCAGTTTAAAAACAACCCAGTAAGCGTTGTGTGTATAGACTCTTTCACTTCTCTCACCAAACCTGACACATTCATTCCGAAAGTAAAATCTCCACAGATGTGTCACTTCCAGCACATCTCACACATCACAATGAACTTTTCAAATTTGTGTAGAAAGTCTGACATATAATATTTGTGAGAGCTATTATAGATAGAGTGCTGTAATAGGTCACCATATTGCATTTATTTGTTTGACACGTTTAAATGCAGAACATTCACTTCCTGCTTTGAAAGTGCAATGACTTCAGATTGCTAAAGCAATGCACACTTGGATTGCCTTGTCATCAGCAGAGCATTGCTGGGAAATCTTATCTGTAATCTCACCAGATCTCAGGGAAAGGCATTTTCCTCCCCTGAGATGATTTGCATGGTCACATGTCTAGTCACATGTGCCAGAAATCCAGGAAGTAAAAGGAGATCTAGTAATCTGCCCTTAGTAAACATGGCCACTGTGAGAAGACTGGGGAAGAAAAGAGAAATAAGGAATGCAAAGAATACAAAGCCGGCAATTATCTAGAAGTATGTGTTTGTAGATTGTCCTTACTAAACATTTCTAAAAGGTGTGATTGTTGTTATTTTGAAGATATGGGTAAAGGTCCGCTTTAAGCCTAGCATAGATTTCTTGCAGGATCAGTTTGAAGTCACATTTGCTGTGCAGCAGCAGTCATTTCAGTTAAATAAACTAGAGCAAAAATATACAACTGAAACAGACATAGAAAAGCAGTTTTACTTTGGACAAAAATTGTTAAGTGTGTTTGTTGTTATTTTAAAGATATGGGTAAAGGTCTGCTTTAAATTACAAAATGGCTAGTGCAACAATTGTATATAATATATTAAGGCTGGAACTGATTTAAAAAAATGTCGATTAATCGAACACGAAAATTTTAAATCGATTAATTTCTATTAATTATAACGCACATACAGATCCAACTACATTGGCCTATACACATACAGCACAGCAATTAAGTAATAAAATGATGTAGGATCACACTAATACAGCACGTTATTAATATCAGGTGCCCCACTCAATATGGTCGCCGCTTGAGTGGGGCAACTCGGAATAATAACGTGCTGGATTAGTGTGATCCTAGTTCATTTTATTACTTCATTGCTGTGCTGTATGTGTATAGGCCAATGCCTTGGCTGGCGCTCGTGCAGAACAAGTTTCTTGGGCAAACCTCTTAGTTGTTAACGAACCCGGAAGTCAGGCGGTCGCAGAACTCAATAAGTTCTCAGTGTCGACAGATCTCCGGCCCAAGTGGCTCCGTCGGCTAACGAAGGGAAGGGGGGAGGAGTCCACTGACATCACCGGACTCCTCCCCCCTTCCCTTCGTTAGCCGACTGAGCCACTTGGGGAAGGAGTCCGGTGACGTCACCGGATCTCCGACAGGACTCCCGGAAGAACCGGAAGCCGGCGAAGAGGTGAGTGTCTTCATTACTGATCAAAAATTTTAACGATTAAATCGGGTAATTAATCGTTAATTTCCGCAGCCCTATAATATATTAAATGTTTTTAAAGATTTTTTTCATTTTTATAGTTTTAAAGCAGAGTTACCCTTTAGGTACCCATTCTGACCAAGCGCCCAAACGTAAAAAGGACTTATTTGCACTCGTCACACAGCAAAGTCTGTTGATGCAATTAAAAAGGAATATTGTAGCTGATGACTACAAGGAAAGTGTACGGTGTACAATAGCTTACCACTGCATAGGAAAAGAGGAAAATGGTGTCTAGTAGGCCCAGAAAGATGGTGGCAGAATCGGCGTCTGGGAAGAGGTGATTGCCATTCCAACTCTGATGAAGATAATAGAAACTTGTTAGAAAGTCTTATTTGCCCAAGGGTGATTATAAAACTACATCTAAGGTTCTTTTTGATAGCTGCCCTGTTCAAGCAAAGAACCTACTTCTGCCCTGTACCCCCTCAGCTCAGTGTAAGGAAACTAGGGCAAAGACACACTAGAGTTGCCCAAAGTAACTTTGTTTTTTCTACCTTCTAGTCCAGAGGTAGGCAACCTGGGCACTCCAGCTGTGCTGAAACTACAAATATCATAAAGTCTCTGCGTGTTATGCTTGTGGCTGTCAGAATTTTGCCAATGCCTCATGGGACTTGTAGTTTTACAACAGCTGGAGTCCTAAGTTTGCCTACCTCTGTTCTAATCTGTAAAAAGAAAAAGGACAGCTGGAAACCGATTGGCTGCTTTAGGCAACAGAGGCCCTTTCCTTCACTGCATTGTTGTACATAAGGCTTGGTGTGTAGTGTGGGAATGCGGAAAGTCTATTGATCCTCCAATCGCAGGCTAGGCTAGGCTAGAGGTCTGCTTATGTTCACCAGGAACTGCAAATGGAAGGGAACTCATGAAAACTGGAGCAGGTAGAATCTGGACCAGTTGCCCATGGCAACCAATCAGCTCCTTTCTTTAATTTTCAAAGCATAACTGAACAAACCAAAGAAAGCTGCCGATTGGTTGGTAAAACAAAACCATCTCCTCCAGTTTTCATTAATTCCCCCCAAAATTGGAGACTTTTTACCTCACCAGTTACAAGAATATTAAAAGTAATGGAAAACTCCTGTTTTATTTATTATAAACAAGCCATGTCATATAAGCTGCCTGAATAGTCAGTATGGCCTGTCAGAGCAACACAAGTTACAGATGATCTAGTGTAAGGGCAATCCTTACAGTGTATGTCTCCAGTCTGCACATTTCCCCAAGTTTTGTCCCTTTAAAAATGCTACATGTACAGAAAAATATTGATGGATCCCACCAGAAATCCAGTGAGCCCCTAACTTCCTGTAGTGAGCTGACAACACTACCTCTGCTGCACTGGAATCCCAAGTAGTGATGTCAGTCCTGCCCTTCCTCTATGTAGGATCTCATGACATGCACCTCCACATCATAGAAGGGAGGCACTCTCTATTCCACCAGGGGAGCAGAGGCAGTGCTGTAATCTTACTACAAGAAAGCAGGGGCTCACTGGATTTCTATCAGGATTGGAAAGTATTTTTCTGTTATTACAACATTTCTAAAAATGGGGAAATGTGCATGTATTGCAAAGATGGACTGAATAGGTTTGTGTGTATATTGCCCAGACTTCACCAATGCACACAATCCAGTAGATCTGCCCACTAAACAGTTATATAATATTTAATGTTAAAATTATAGGCGCTTGCTTTGCAGTGCTGAGATTATGGGTTCAGTTCTCAGTTGATGTGCTCTTCCCAGGTTTGATTTTAGGTAATCCAGTTTTTTCCTACAATTAAAAATTGCTGTCAGATGAATTGACTTCCACCTAAAACTACATGGGGTGGGCACATTAGTATAATCCCCCGGGGGTCTGTAACTTGTATATGTTCTATATACTATGTAAAACACAGGAGAAAATATTGGTGCTGCAACCTGTCCATCTCTCATCTTGCCCTGCTTACAGATTAGCCTTACCGAGTTTGGGTCCACAACGGACATGGAAAGGTTTAGGCTGGATGGGGTCCACTGGTTGTTTATGCTGACCTTCACATTGCTGAATGCTTTCCTGGAGGCATGGAGCAGCGAGTAACTGGGGGAAACAGGATAAAGACACAATTAATAGATCTAAACATCAGTTAAAAGCACTGCATATGAAACACTTGCCTTTATTTTTCAAAAAATCCTGTTTTCACATTTTTTTCACCCATCTTTGCATCTCGGTGCTGCTGATCTCATCCAACCACCTCCTGCCTACATACATGCGTTCCAGACTCGGCTGCACATCATTGCTCTGGTTCGGTTTTCTGACAGGGACAACTGTGGACCATGCCACTGCAATGTGTCGGCAGGACTCCCTGTAGTCCCCATCAGGGGCACTTGTCAAAGGGCGACAACTCAAGAGCACAAACAGGAGATGGTGGACCAGTCAATGTTTGATGAATCGGCCACTTGTCTCCGGCGGAAGTTTGAGTGACAATGCAGGAGCACAAGTGGGGACAGAGCGTTGTCACACTTTAACAGGAAGTGACTGAACAAGGACCTTTAGGACAGGATCACCAGGTAGTTTTAAATGAAAGATACAAATGTTAAAAGACTGAAAACAATGACATTTATATCCTGTCGGAGAGGAAACAAAATATGCAGCCCAGGACCCGGCGGACTGAAAATGGTTTTCCAAGTGCCTATAGTTTCCACGATATTTTGCCGACAGTAAAACTTGTGATCTGGCATCATGGGAGTGCATTTTCTAAACACCAGAAATCCCCTTGTGAAAACCAGACTCGGCAACTTCCAATGATCACTTAAAATAATAAGCAGGTTATACTGCGCTTGTTAGGTTAACACAAATGTAGCCAACAATATCACCTCCTAATTCTCCTGGGAGGATTCCTCCATTAAAAGGAGAACTATGGGGTCAGTGGTTTTCCCCATAGTTCTCCTTAGGGTAACGGGAGGACATATACTAGCGTCCTCCCGTTACCCTAAGCTCAGTATACCGCGAGCTACAGCTCGCAGTATACTGAGACGCCGCAGCGGATCCCGACTTAGATGACGGGATCCGCCCAGCTGCGTGAGTGACAGCTGGCTCTGCCTATCTAGAGGCAGAGCCAGCTGTACCCGCCCCCTCCCCCGTCCCTTCCGCCAGTCAGCGTGGGGAGAGGGGAATCCAGCCCCTGTATGGTATGTGTTCGCTCACCTCCCGATCTACTGAGCCGACCTGTGACAGTCTCATTGTCACAGGTCGGCTAAAACTATGAGGTGAGTGGAAATCACTCACCTCATAGTTCTCCTTTAAGTATAAAAAGCAGAAGGAAAAGAAATCTTCATAGTGTAAAAAACACGTGTATTAAATAGCATAAGACCAAACAAGAACATTCACAAAACTGGTGGTTAGCCCAGCACTAAGAAATAAAACACCCAGGGGGAAATTTACCAAAACTGGAGCAGACACAATCTGGAGCAATTGCCTACAGCAACCAATCAGCTTCTCTCTTCAGTTTGCCAGTTTGTTGAAAATGAAAGAGAGAAGCCGATTGGTTGCCATGCACAGCTGCTCCAGTTTTGATAAATTACCCTCTCTGTGCCTTCAGGAGTCACGCATCCCCAGCACTTCCGTTTTGGTGCGTACATGAGTCCCCATGTGTGTTGCTTCAAATTGCTTTGAACCACCCAATGCATTTCATCTCAGAAGACTTTGTCAGGAGAGTCAGGAGTTCAATAACCCCCTCATTACCGGGCTTAACCAACCAAACCCGTTAACCCTTCCATGAACGCCCCCATTAGTCAATTCAGCAACTAGAGCACATCATTAACAAGTGAGTTAACAATAATATGACCTCCAGAAAAAATATATATACACAATGAACAAAAAACAAGGATTTACCAGCCCTGCATTGTACGTGATGACGCAGAGGGACCACCCACAGCTTAAAGCATCGGGGAGAAAAGGGGAGCACCGCAGCATGCTCTTCCAGTAACCCCTTTGAGAATTAAGTCCTTGCAGTCCAGGGGGGCCTCACTGCAAAGTCTTTATTTCCTTCCAACCTGGAGTTGGGTTTGAGGCTAGGTTCACACCTAGGCGATTTATCGCACGGAACACAGATGCACATTGAAGTCAATAAAGGCTGCTCACACCTTTGCGGTTTGTTGCACGACCGAAATCGCTTGTCGCGCGAAAAGGTGCAGGAGCTATTTCAACGTATGCAGCACAACCAACGGTAACGAAATAGGCAATGGCAAGGGTCATCAGGCAGGCCGCCTCACCACCGCCGCCTCAAGCACGTGTAGTGGATAAAGAAAAAAAAAACCGGGGAGAAGAAAAAAAAAATTTAAAAAAAGGGTCTATAGGTGTCTGCTCCCTCACACGGCCATTGCCAAGCCACGCCCCCAGGAGCTATTTTTGGGCGGTTGTCGCACGGTTTGGGTCCCATAGAAATCTCTATGCATTGAAAACCACACGAAAGTCCCGTGATCGAAAATGCGCAAAAACAGCCCAGCATCTGAATCGCCTAGGTGTGAACCAAGCCTCAATCCCCTACAGGGTAAGCATCTCCTGCAGATGAAAACACTTGCCCCCTGAAAAAAGTTAATTTCCTTTGTCCTACGGGGCTTTCCTGTATAAAATGTTTGGAACCTAATGCAATACACTCCATCTAATCAAACCTAAGTATTATCCCTAAAATCATCCAACAACTCACAGTTCCTCCCAATGCTCATCATTTGACATATTGGTATATTTGAAAGCCACAAAAAATTACCAAAATGTTAACAGTTTACACTATTATAATAACCCATCAGCCTGAAACACAAATCATATTAAAAGGAGAACTATGAGGTGAGTGCTTTTCACTCACCTCATAGTTCTAGCCAACCTGTGACAATGAGACTGTCACAGGTCGGCTCAGTAGATCGGGAAGTGAGCGAACACATACCGGCGTTCTCTCACTTCTCGATCCTGTCACAGCTCTCTGCCGTGACAGGGGAGGGGCTGTATTCCCCTCTCCGATCTGCCAGCGCTGACTGGCGGAACGGACGGGGGAGGGGGCAGGTACAGCTGACTCTGCCTCTAGATAGGCAGAGCCAGCTGTCAGTCACGCAGCTGGGCGGAACCCGGCACAATTGTCGGGATCCGCTTCAGCTGCGGCGCCTCAGTATACCGCGAGCAGCTGCTCGCGGTATACTGAGCCTAGGGTGACGGGAGTACGCTAGTTTGTGTCCTCCCGTTACCCTAAGGAGAACTATGGGGAAAAGACAACCTCATAGTTCTCCTTTAACATCATTCATATTTTGCACAAAAAAAAGCATTGGGCAATGTAAAGCATTGTTATGTCATCACACAAGTAGGGATTCGGCTGGTTTTTAATGTCCCGGACGAAATTCGCACAGTGTGTGGGGCCGTCGGCTCCCTTTCAGCCGGCATTCCTCGATCAGCTGATTGAAGGAGCCTGCTGGAAATTTTTAGAGTGATCAGAGCCAGAAGCCAATGAGCTGCCCGCTTTGCTCGGGTATTCTGACAGGTGTCGGCAGTACACGCTGTTTGTGTTGGAGGAATCGGGTCAATTCTTCTGTTCAGTCAGTGGGTTGAAGGAAAAAAACCTGACAGGTGTACCTTAGAGGCACAGGCACAATGTAACAAGCAACTTTCTTCCAAAAAAGAAGGTTTACAGATTTTCTAAAAGGACTACGAGGTTATTTGGCTATTTCAAATAAAGCTTAGAGGAATTATTGTTTAAATGAGTCAGTATATCGAGATAATATTCCACAAGGTCGTTACCTCAGGCAGTATAACCTCTTGTTATCTGAAGTTCTGATAACACTCGTACAGCTCTCCATACTACATGATCCATAATACAATTGGAGACAAACATTCCAGATCACATGACCTGTACATCCTGAACGCCCTGGCTTGTAAAGCTGAAATTCAGGTCCGGCCATGTTACGCAACAGCCAATGATGTTTATGTTGTAAGACTATATTTCATTTATTGTGACTTGTGATGTGCAGCCATTAATATGGAAAGATATAAACACACACAAATGGCTTTTTAATAACCTTAATCTTTGTTGCATCATAGACAAATAAACATATTTAAATATGTGCATTACCCATGTGAGGCAAAGTTACTGGTTTACTTAAATGCCAACTCCACCCCACATAACCACCTTCCCTCAGTGCCACTGCTGCTCCATTCAGCTGTCTGGCATGAAGAAAAATGCCCAGTACTTCCGGGTATAGAGAAAGCAAGTAATCACCAGCATTGTTACATGGGAGCAGGGAAAGTCCACAGGTGAACTTCGACTGGATCGATTGGGCAAAGCACCAGCTCACTTTAAAGCAAACCTGTGCTCTTCACATGAAGGGTAAAGAAACAAGCGTGCTTTAAAAAGGAACTTTACCCATATCTATGAAATGACAACAATTTACAGCTTTAGAAATATTTTTTAATGGCAAACTACAGACAGGATTCTTATAGATAATTGCCACCTTCTTATTCTTTGCATACCTTATTTTTCTTTTCCTCCCCATTCTTCAGTGGCCATTTTTACTGACGGCAGATTAATCCATCTCCCTTTACTTCCTGGAACTCTGGCACATGTGACTAGGACATTTGACCATGCACATCATCTCAGGGGAGGAAAATGCCTTTCCCTGAGATCTCATGAGATTACAGATGAGATTTCCCAGCAATGCTCTGCTGATGTGACCTTCCCGGGATGCCACGCTTCGGAACATTACCTCACCATTGCTTAAGAGGATCAGGAAATGGATCACAAAATTATTGTAAATTAAAATAAAGATATGTTTGTTTAAATAATTAATGTAATATTATTTCATATCAGCATGCAGAGCTGCACACCGAGGTGATTATTAGTGAAAGAGGGTAAAGGACCACTTTAATCCCCTTCCCCAGCAGCACATGCTCACCTTCCCTCCTATGCTGTTCTATACTGCAAACCACCCTGGCAGGGGAGAAACAGGTCTGCAACTGAAGTGTTGAGGACAGAGCTTCGGTATTAACCCCTGTGGGAACTAACTGGAGCATAGTATAACCAGGCTCCCACAACAAAGTGTAAAGCCCTAAGTTACTACAGTGCTGGTTCAGAAGACGCTCTGTGGCTTCTAGAAGAAGGCAAGATGGAGATTGCCGGGCAAAATCCAAGAGAACAAGCCCCCTCCAAACAGCAAGCAATAAAGAAATGGGTTTGCTTCTCTCAGGGAAGAGAAGATGTCCTTTCTCCTAGGACACTAGAAAAAACAGGAGCATGCTGGGGAGTGGGAGAATGTTTATACTAGGCTATCCTACAGCTTAGTTTGTCAGTGTCAAATCTCATGAACAGCAGCAGCATGATGACTGAGCAATGCTTGTAGCCTTGTCCTGTAAGGGTTGAGCACAGGTACACTTTCAAGCAATGGTACATTGTTAGGTTTAGCTTTGACAAGATTATTCTGAGGGTAACTCTTTCACCCCCTTACTTACCTGAAAAAAGTCAGGAGGAAAACCGCCAAATGATGGTGTGTGTACTGAGCAAAGAATCGAAGGCGAGGAGGTGCCCTGCGTGGAGACCCGGGGAAGTCCATGTCTGCAAGTCCTCAAACAGATGTACACATGAGCATCAACTTCTCCCCAAACAAATCAGATCTTTTATAAAGGCCTGAAGAAAGAAAAAAAAAGAACATTTATAAAGATAATTATGTCATTTATAGAGCAGAGTGGTGGGCTTAATCATAATTCAGTCCAACCATTCCCTGAGCAATAATTAGATCAGCGAGGAGGTCTAAGCAACGTTCATTTGACCCACAATAGTGTTTTTGAAGATGCAATCTCCAAAACTGTAACCCTTACGCAAGGGTGAGAAGGACTCGGAACATTGGCATACTTCAAGTCAGTAATCTGCTAGATAATGAAGCCATGATAAGGATGTTGAACTGAAACCTGCATCTAAAGAAGCCAAGTCAGCAATGTTTGTTCTTATATTTCTATCCACACAGGCTTCCTTTAGGAGTACGCCAGCAATGGCTGCTCCCATATCTCTGTTCTGGCAGGTTCCTTTTAATGCTGAACTCCAGGCACCATCACTGGTGTCATGCCTCCACAAAACACATGGGCGCAACATCACCACATCATCGCTGTGTTTTGTGAATGGCCTGTGGAAATGTTGGCATTGGCAGGATGTATACAGCCATACACATCATCACTTTTCACAATCAGACACTCTAAAACTGAGGCAAAGTCAAAAGCCTATACATGCCCTGCCAGGAACAGGGAGACTCCACTTGTCACACTCCTCACTACAGTGCTGTCTGATGCTGCTGCTCCTTCTCTGTCTTGGAACAGGGTTAGGTCCGTGCATGGCAGCATAAAGTAGGTCCCTTATGAGGGTGTAGCTCCCTATTTTGCTATAAAGTCCCCAAATAGTAGTATATCCTCCTGTATGTCACCCCCACAGTAGCAAATTCCCCTGTATTACAATACAGGGGAGCATCCCTCCTGCATGACAGCATATCCCTCCTGCAAGGCAACACATTCCCCCTGTAAGGCAGCACATCCCCCTTGCATGGCAGAATATTTCCCCTGTAAGGCAGCACATCCCCCTTGCATGGCAGAATATTTCCCCTGTAAGGCAGCACATCCCCCCTTGCTTGGCAGAATATTTCCCCCGTAAGGCAGCACATCCCCCCTTGCTTGGCAGAATATTTCCCCCGTAAGGCAGCACATCCCCCCTTGCGTGGCAGAATATTTCCCCTGTAAGGCAGCACCCCCCCTTGCATGGCAGCTTACAGTATTTCCTTACAAGGCAGAATATCCCCCCATCTCTCCTGCCACACAGCACATTGCCCCCCGTATGGCAGCACATCCCTCCTCCCAATCCCCCCGTGGTCGTACAACTCTCCTCTTGCCCACCTCAAACAGCATAGCCCCAGGTAATAGCCTTCCTATGGCAGCATATTTCCCCCATATAGCAATACAATCCCCCTATATATGGCAGCATGCCCCTCCTGTATGACAAAACAGCCCCCCAACTATAGAGCAGACTATCCCCCTGTACGGCAGCATGTCCCTTTCCAAAGCAGACCGCCTCCCTATGCAGGTTATCAGAACCGGTCATCCCTCCCCGACTCTCACCTGAGAGCCCCGGGCCGTTCTCCTCCACCCCCGGCTCATCAGTGTTGGACCAGCTGTTGCCGACTTCGGTGAGGCCACTTCCGGGATCACGTGACCTAGTCAGAGCTTCTGCGCGCACGGCATGCCGGGAACTATTGTGAACGGCGGCGGGTGGTCGACTGGTCGTGGCCGTCTGCAGGGTGGTCGACTGGTCGTGGCCGTCTGCAGGGTGGTCAGTGTCAGGTTACATCTGAAGTTCTGAACATGGGCGCCACTGCTGGCCTCAGCCTGCGCTTATTCCTGGCTGTCCTGAGACACGCACTCTGCAAATGAAGCCAGAGCTGCTGTTCTAGGACAGCCAGGCAAGCAGCATTTTGTAATGGAGTGAACAGCAGTGTCAGGTCTATGTACATGTCATCAGTTCAGATTTGTAAGGGATCCCAGCAGATGTGACAGGTGATCAGAATGCACAGACAGCCCAATCACACCGCAATGCATGCGTTTTTGTGCATTGCGACCTGTTGCATCAAGCAGCCCGATCACAATGAATGCGCAGCGCAGCAGATCATTGCACAATATTGGGATATGTGTTTTTTGCAGCCCAGAGTGTTGTTAAGGTGTTTGTGCACCATGCAAGGAGAACTATGAGGTCAGTGCTTTTCCCCATAGTTCTAAGGGTCACGGGAGGACACAAATTAGCGTCCTCCTGTGACCCAAAGCTCAGTATACTGCGAGCTACAGCTCGAGGTATACTGAGACCGCCGCAGCCGGGATGTATCCCGACATTACTGTCGAGATCCACCCAGCTGCGTGATTGACAGCTGGCTCTGCCTGTCTAGAGGCAGAGTCAACTGTACCGGCCCCCTCCCCCGTCCGATCCTCCAGTCAGCGCTTGAGGATCAGAGGGGGGGAATCCCTGCAGGGAGAGGTGAGTGACAGTCATGGCTCTCTGCAGGGACATGAGCGAGCGACGGTATGTGTTCGCTCACTTCCCGATCTACTGAGCCGACCTGTGACAGTTTCATTGTCACACTCCGGCTCGAACTATGAGGTTGAGTGAAAATCACTCACCTCATAGTTCTCCTTTAAGCCATTCCACGTCCAGAGCAATTGTTTTATTTTTGGTTAGTGAACCCCAATGACATATTTTAGTGAAAGCCGAGGCCCTGCTGAATATAACAATGCTGTTTGCATTTTTTAAGTCACATATTTGCCCAAATGTTTATCAAATTAATTGGAAAAAATACAATACAATGAATGTTAGTGCACACAAACAGAATACCCAATATTTTGGTAAAATAAAATATGGGGTCGTGTCAGGTAAATAGATACCAAACCTGTCAAGCATTAAAATTGCACACACCCTTGAAATGAGGAAAAACACTTTCCGTGAAATTAGCCACGCACGACGCTTTAAAGGAGAACTATGAGGTGAGTGATTTCCACTCATCCTCATAGTTAGAGCCTACCAGTGACAAAGAAGCTGTTATATGTCCTCCCGTGACCCTAAAGAGAACTATTGGGAAAAACACTTACCCCATAGTTCTCCTTTAAAAGCCGTTACCGCTCATCAACTTACAGTTACCAGGCACTCAAATCATTGCTCTAACTCCAACGTTTGCAGTGATATGTAGCATGTGTGGTGCAATTGTTTTTGCGCATAGGCGCACCTGACGCATGTTTGTGCATGTATCTGGCGGTGGCGGGCTTTATTTTCTTTTTTTTTATCTTTTATTTCACTATAATTTTGTAAACTTTTACTTTTATGTAGCCCCCATCACCTTCTGTGATGTGGCTACTAGACCTTAGTGATAGCCAGGGCTGTAGTCATCCAGGCTGGATTTATAGTGGCAGTTATCTGGTTAATCCCATGTGTCTGGCATTGCCTGTACCCTCCCTGGGTGGAGTGTGACTCTGTCATATTGTGGGACAGCCAATGAGAGGCATTGTAGTGTATGTACAGTACAGCAGCCAATCACTGAGTTTCTCTCTCAGCCAGTGGTGCATGCTGGGATAGGGTACATATACTGGAGGGATTTGCCATGTGTTCAGACTAGCCGGGAGTCCGGGACCAGCCATGGAATATGGCTGTGTGCTGTTCAGCCTGCCACCCAGGCTAGGCCTGAGGCCTGGTGGTGGGCATGGGCTGGTGTGAGGGAAAAGGTTTCCCTGAGACCTCCAACATGGAGGAGGCCTGTGATGCTGAAAGAGGAAGAGAACCGGGACCAATGCAGGCTCTTGAAGTACCCTGGAACTATGAGGACTTCCGGGGCATGGTCAGTGTCTTTCTTGCTTGAGGGTCTGTATCCATCCTGCCTATCTGCTACATCAGTTGCCATCCGCTGTCACCCAAGTGGATCTCCACTGATATTCCTACAAAGTCTGGTGAGTCTGGTCTGGAGCTCCTGGTTGTTACCCCTGGAGGCTTAGAACCCCTATACCCTATCTCCGCAGTGAAGATGTTCAATAAAAGGTTATTCAGCATTTTACTACTGGAGTGGACATCAGTTTATGGGCACCAGAAGAAGGGCGGTTAGTGCTAATGGGTGGGCAGCTGAAGAACATACCCTAGACAAGAAAGAAATACCCGGTACATCCAGCAGCTCCTTCAGGGGTGCACGCTACATTTATATTTAACTTTATTGCTAAGACATAGGGAGCTAACAAGCCCCCTATGTGATAGTACAGAGGAAGTGACAGGTCCTCTTCATGGAGACAACAGGAGTCTATTAGACCGATAATGTCACCTATGGACCCCAAAGAAGATGATCAAACACATATCGTACTTCCTCACTTACTTCTCTGGCTCCAGCAGCTGGAGAAATGAGAGGCTAAAACTGTAAGTGACAAAATCAGCATCACTTCTGGGTTCAGTGATCGGAGGGGAGATTAGACACTGAAAGTGTGCTGATGTCCCTTACGCCTGGTTCACACCTGGGCGTTCCTACGCGCTGTAAAACGCTCAACATGTGAAAACCAATAAATGCCTATGGGCATGGTTCCCACCTGGGCGTTTTACAGCGCATAGGAACGCGCGGAAAAACGCCCTACACCCAATGAAGTACAGGAGCTTCTTTGAGGCATTTTCAGCGCGTTTCCATTGGTATTCTCGAGTGTGGATCGGGGTTAACAAAGCGGTATCCCCGAGCCACGCCCGGGAATACAGCGTACAGGTCTTACCTTGTCCGCGATCCCCGCTGTGTCTTCTGGCAGCTTCCGGGTTCCGTCCCTTGCAAGCGGCCGCGTCGCAGGGGGGCAGAGCCGGCCGGAAATTTAAAAGTGATTTTTTTTTTTTAAATAGAGAAAATAAGGAAAAAAAACCCCCCAAAAATCATACCACCAGTGAAATGCGCGTTTCACTGAACGGAAAAAAGTGCTAAAAGACACGAGAAAAACGGGCTGAAAAAATATGCTCAGGTGTGAACCCAGCTGGTGGCACCCGCCATGCTGCTTCCGCATGGGGGACAGAGGATCCCAGGACAGGGAAGGAGGGCACATTATTTGGCAGCATACAAGTAGTCAGGCGGCTCTACAGTCACCCAAGCCGACAGTCAGCTGCACAGAACAGTACCAAAATCATGAGCTTGGTGTAACCACTTTAGGAGCGCGCCATTTATATATGTCAGGACCGTGTCATTTATATACATACATTTATATATGTAAGGGCTACGTCATTTATATATGTAAGGGCCGCGCCATTTATATATGTAAGGGCCACATCATTTATATATGTAAGGGCCGCGCCATTTATATATGTAAGGGCCGTGTCACTTATATATGTAAGGACCGTGTCATTTATATACTGTACATACAATTATATATGTATGGACAAGAATAAAGTGATACTAGTTGGATCACCATATAAAAATAAAGAGGAAAAAGCCTGAAAAAAGAGAAAACGAATGCGGCCACCACATCTAAGGACTGGTAATCTGTAATATATGACATTTTGCTTTGTGGGTTATTATACACAGGCATTTGTATTGTACGGTGTGATGACGTTCTTGGCTTGTATATGGTACACAGGATGTCATCGCCACCTGCTGGCTACAAGCTGTACATTTCGGTTGTGATTTCGAGTGACAACATCTGGTGAGACATCAAGCTGTAATGACAATGACATATGTAACACATTATTGGGAAAAAGCCCTTACCAGGGCGAGCATGTGAACCATGAAGACACGGTAAATAATAATTAGTACATAACTCACCGTGTCATCATCAGAAGGGCAGCAAGATGCCAAATGTTACAGTCATTACTTACATGGATTCCACAGTGATAAATCCCATCAGTGTCACAGTGGATGTCCATGTGTAGCAAAGAAATGAAGCCAACTCAGCATAGCACACAGGCATTTCATATTTTAAAGTTAAACTCCGGCTTTCCCTTCATGTGCTGCAGTGATTAAGATAGAGACCGCCTCATTTCCTGGCTGGAGGACATCCAGCATCCTCTATGCTTTTCTCCCCAGCCTGACTGTCCCATAACCCCTCTGCCTCTGGGAGTCATCCCTGTAACTGGCAGTCTTGCAATGCCTCATGGGACTTGTATTTCCACAAGAGCTGGAGGGCTGGAGTTGCCCACCCCCTTTTTTTTTTCCAAGTCCGCCATGTGTGCAACAAAAACGTACATCCCCTGTGAACAAAAAAGTGAATAGTGAAATCACTACACAATAAAAAAAAAATTTCAAGAGGGTGCTTTGGTACTCAGAATTCCTGAAACCCCCGGGGAGCAAAGCTACTGATAGGGGCAAAGACGACTTAAGCTCACCTACCGAAGTAGGTCCCACGAGTACAAGGTGAGGGCTCTCCCGAAGAGAGACCCCTGAGTGGGAGGAGGCAGGGAAGCCCATAGAGGCCACAGAACCTCCTCCCCCAGCTTCAGGACGGGCCCCGAAGGTACCCGCACCCTCCGTCATTCTGTGTCGTCAAAAAGTGCAGTCGTGCATAAAAATAGGGGAGAAATAATGAAGTGCCAGTGCACAAACCTGGCAGGCCATCCGGTCAAGGTATAGAAATTGCCCCAGGCTAGCCAGAAGGCATGCCTAAGAGGCATGGTGCAGAATATAGCTTGAGTGCCGTGACCTAGTGACGGTAAATCAAGTGGGGTCCCAAACCCAAGTGATTTTCCGGCACACCCTGAGACGCCACTCCCAAGGGGCACAGTACCGTGGGCCTCTGCGCTCCCCGAACCCTCTGGCCAGACAAGAGCAGCCCCATCCATACCAGAAGGCATTAGCACCAGAGGGGTTCCTGCCTACAACTGGGAAAAAGCCTGGCATAACCAGGCCAGAATCAACCCAGGCAGTAAGGAAACCCCTCTGGCACCCAACTATTACTAAACAACTATCCCCCGGTTTGAAATGGTGTCGTTCTTCCCCGAAAACTGATAAGAACAGATACTACACTTGATCTTAGCCAAAAGGCCGAGTAAAGTTGCCCACCCCTGGACTAGATGATGCTGGAGACAGGAAATGGGACGGGCTCTATCTGACTTGCTGCAGCTTCTAATGCACATTGCAAGAAGCTCACGGTGTTCAGTACAATCAGAGTAAGTCCTATCAGTCCAGGAGAGGAGCCGTGCAACTGTGCAAGACTGATCATAAGGCCGGAGTTCAGCTTTAAAAAACAGAAAACTAATGCAGCCATCACATCTGGTAAGCAGCCATATATCACATTTTGGATTTGGGGTTTAGATATACTTCAAGGCACGTTGGCCCTTTAAATGGTGCCGGCGCCCAGACAATAACTGGCACCGATTTATCGTAGGACAATGCTAGTGCCTGATTTACTGCTTCTCATTATAATAATCACAGAGGTCCCTTTGTGCTCAGCCATGGTATTGGATGACGGTGTCAGCCCGTGAACTGACCGCTGACATTAATTACAGCCAACGTCTAGCAAAAGAGGCTTCTGGCCTGTCAATACTCAGCCAAAGATTCCAACTTTGGGACACAAATCTCTGCATGTGTGGAATCAGATTCTCATTAAAGGGGACCTGTCACAAGCAAAACATTCAATGTTTTATTTTTACTACATGAAGAAAACAACAGTGGAAAATAACGCTTTTTATTGACATGTATCTCCAGCTCTGAAACCTCAGGAGCCCCAGATCTACGATAGAGACTGCGGACTTCTATTCTACATGGCCAGAACGGGGAGTTGCCTGGGCAATCAAACTGCATTGTGTGCAATGGCTGGCCAGTGTCCTCATCACACAGGAGCAGCGCCACTTCTCAGACAGGGTTTATCTTTTTCCAAACTCTACTATCTTTTATTTCCTGCAGACAGCGCAAGGACCAATGCAAGAAGGTAACGTTTGTGTATTTCATGGTGAATCATGTGTCTTACCTGTTGCTTTCTGTTATTGCTTCTCTAAGGGCTGAAAAAGGTAACAAAAAACAAAAAACTCTCTAACAATGTTTTACCTCTATGTTGTAAATATGCACATAATGTGCCGTGCAAACTGTTGGCACTATATAAATCCTGTATAATAATAATAATAACAATAATACTTTTCCTTATTGTAGTAATACTAAACAATAAAAAGATTGAAAACAACATAAGACATGCAGAGTACCCAGAGATCTCCCATGTGTATTGTCTATGTGACATGTTTGCTGTAATAACAACCTGTGACTGTCATTTTATATTGGACTCCGTCTGTGCTGACGCCACATTTGTTACCTCCACGTTGTAACCTACGCATTGTCCTTACTGTCTACTCAAAGCTATTGAACACAAAGGAAATGACTCAAGGGCAGTGAAAGGTCTATTGGCAATAAAAGAAGAGCTCATTTCCTTATTGTTGCCTTTGTTTCTGGACTACGAGTTCTAGAATGCACCGGGGGAGGAGGCGGAGAGGAGAGGCTGGCGTACCTGTTCATCCAGGTGACACACAGTCGCAGGAAGGTGTGTGACAGGTGAGCAGATCCCTGCAGGCAAGGCGAGAGGGAAGACATCAGATAAACTGGGAGGACTCGGGAACAGTTTTCATCTGTTCGGGGACCTGATACACCTGTTGTCAATTCATCGTAGAGGTAAGGATCTTATGGCCGTCTGTTACTTGTAGAACTAACAATCCCAGCAGGCTAGCTGCTACAGCATAACCTCTAATTCTCTCATCTTATGGCTTCTGTGGTTATTAACCTGGTGGAGCATTTATATTGCTTCAAACTGCCTGATTTGTTTTTATTTTCTACTGCATTTTATTGTATCGGTGTATAAAGGAAATGATTATCTAATCATATGTGAAGCAAAGTTCTGTAGCCACTCGTTTCATATGGCACTGACACTTTATACAAGTTGCTCACCCACCCTCCCAAGTTAAAAATGTTTGTCACAGCTTTATTGGTCTGACCTTGCCAGCTAAAAAATGTTACTTTAATGGGCTATGAACTCAGGTTAAAGTTATAACAGTCTAATGCCTGTCTGGCACTGATGGTAAAGACAGGTACCCCACTTTCAGGTGTGCTCACAGTTTAACTGTGACTGGCACTGGTTACGTTTTGGTTGTTATGTTTAAATTGGAAATAAAGCTGTGGCCTTGCCCTTTTCCAACTTAATTGTTGTCGGTGTCTTTTATTGGGCAAGGCGGAATATCAGCCAATTTGGGTTTTTTTCTCTAGGCCTAGGCTTCTCATCAGTCATGATTATCTAATCATATGTAAAGCAAAGTTCTGTAGCCACTCGTTGCATATGGCACTGACACTTTATACATATCAGACCCCAAAGGAGCTTACAATCTAATGTCCAAGTATATTTATTTATATAGAGCCGAAAATTTAGACAGCACTTTACATACTACACATGCACATCAGTCCCTGCCCTCAAGGAGCTAACAATCTAAGGTCCCTATTGTACATACGTACAGGAGCCAATAAACCTTCCAGTATGTCTTTGAAGTGTTGGAGGAACCCACGCATGCACAGGGAGAACGTGCAAACTCCTTGCAGATAGTGTCCTGACTGGAATTTGAACCAGGGACTCCCAGTACTTCAAGGCAGAAGCGCTAACCACTACCAGGGACCCCCAGTGCTGCAAGGCAGAAGTGCTAACCATGTCCAGGAACACCCAGTGCGGCAAGGCAGAAGTGCTAAACAGGGACCCCCAGTGCTGCCAGGCAGAAGTGTTAACCATTACCAGGGACCCCAGTGCTGCAAGGAAAAAGTGCTAATCACTACCAGGGACCCCAGTGCAGCAAGGCAGAAGTGCTAACCACTACCAGGAATCCGCAGTGCTCCATGGCAAAAGTACTAAAAAAAATGCACGAAAATATGTTACATATACGTTTTTCTTGCACTCCCATTGAAGTCTATAGGGTTAAATATACACCAAAAGAAGCACCTGCACCATTTCCCAAGTCGCACGGAAGTGCGTTGCATACTTATGAGTGGGCCCTTTAGCAAATAATGGGATTCCTTTTGTTGTGCAATGTCACGTGATGGCCAAGGCGCTTCAAAACGCATAGGTGTGAATGATTGGGGACTTAGAGTAGGGAAGGGTTAAATCCGCTATCAGGTTTTTTGGGGGGTGTTTGGTTATCTTTGACCCCCTAGGGGGGAGATTCCCCTTCACTTCCTGGCCTGTAGACACAAGAGGATATCTCTTCAAAGTAAAGGGAAATACCCTTCTCCCCTCCATTCCTGTTCCACTGACAGCCCAGAATTCTGCATTTTTACACCCTTTCACTCCTGGTAACAATGGTCACCAGGACAAATAGAGTGACTCTCCCTAGTGGGACATACTGTAATACGTGTGTGCTAACCTGTATAATACATCTGGGATTCCATTCAGGTAGTTGGTCTCAATTCAATTTTTGAGGGCTTTTGAAGTAAATTAGTTGACGGGCAAGATCGGATGTTCTGATGAACGAGCTGGAAAGAAATTCCCTTTACTGCACAGACTGCAAAGAGGATCTGTGATTAGGGACAATAATTCTAAAGTCTGACATATGCCGGTCCCTAATGAAAATGTCACAGGGTGTACAGGATCAAACAGAAACTATTGCAATTCCTAACCATACATTTATGGATTTGTATTATCTTCAAAGGCACAAAGATTTCATATGTTTAAAATTGCTTCAACAGCCCCACCTAATGGGGCCCCTTCCACCCTCAGGCCCTATTGCAGACACGTGGGCAGCTATGGCTATTGTTATGCTAACAAGCTGTTGTCAACCTTCTCTTTGCTAGTTTATATTATTATTCATTTACAGCTTCTAAAAACGCCTTTGGTATAGAGATCAGATTATATAGTGATTATTAAAATACAGAAGCTGGAGCACAGCCAGCACACTAAAGGTGCCCATACACTGCTCGATTCTTGTACGAGAATCGCGGGAAATCCCGCGATCGTACGAGAATCGAGCAGTGTGAATGAAGACGTGCGACCGTTTCTACTGTACGGTCGCACGTCTTTTGTCTAAGGAGCACGCTAGAGAACCAGCCGAAAATCGTACGATTTTCGGGTGGTTTGAACGGTGCTCAGGAGACAAATGCCGAACGGGCCAGTGTGCTCATGCGCGATTTCCACTCACTTTGGATTTCTTTTCAGTTCCAGTTGTGCTGGAGAATAAAAATTGACCGGGTTTTAGCCGTTCCCTACTTTATCCAATACTAAAAAGAAGTATATATATTTAACGGAAAATTGTATACTTACCTTCTGTAATTTTCCTTTCCTGGTACCTCCACATGGCAGCATGAACCAAACAGGTGTATGCTGCCATGTAGGTTCCAGGAAATATATATATAGAGAGATCTATATAGATAGATATATCTATCTATATAGATCTCTCTCTCTCTCTCTCTCTCTCTCTCTCTCTCATAT